AAAGTGGTCGAGAAATGTGTGTACTGTGAACTGAGGCACCGCACGGCTTGTGGATTAGAGCCGCTTCCGGATTTGTGTAATCGGTTGTTGCGAAATCCACGTGATAATCATTACGCCGCCTGATGACAGGTTGCTGTGGAGTGGCAAAGGGATTAAGGAGGTACTTAGCACTAGACTGTCAGAAAATTAGCAAAAAATGATAGGGCAAGTCTGCAACTTCAAAAATGAGTAAAACGGGGTCGAGAACTTTGTGTACAGAAAATGAAGTCAAGTTGACGATCAAAAAAAGCGCGTTTGGGGTTGGGCACTTTCAACTGCAATAGCGTCAGTTTACCGTCTTTTATTTTTCTCTTTTGATCACCATATATCATTTTTGCTTTTTGTTCATTCATTTATCTTTGTTTTTATTGCTTTTTTTACATATCCTTTACACTATTTTTATAAGCTTTTTGTTCGTTTATTTTTCTTAGAATTTAAAATAAGCTGTGGCTATTTAGCAATTGATCATAAAAATACGAAATATTTATGCGATAAACTGTAAACATACTTAATGGTTTATGAAACATCCTCGATTACTATTTTTGATGTTTTTCTGCTTATTTTTTTAAGATTAACGTTAGGGCATTTCGCTAGCAAACGCTTTCTAATTCACTGCTCTGAACATTTATTTTCTTACTTGTGGTCTTTAAGAAACTAAACGGTCTCAAGGATGAAGGTTCTCATGTAAGTCGTAATTGCCTTTCTCTGTTCAACTTTTGAAATTTCGGTTCTTTACTAAGAACAAAATCACTTTACAATTTTTTTTTATTTTTGTAAAACGACATTTTCTCAGCCTGACGAGATTTTTAGAGTTGTTTTACTGTGTGCAACAATGGCTTTTGCCTACCATCGTATGAAGCGATCTCCAGGAGGATGCTTTGGAGGATTGTTGGCTCAGGGTTGTGTAGTTACGGTACTGTCTCTCCGACTTTAATTCGTTAACTTCAAATAATACTCAAAGTCTCTGATTTAAAAATTCTATTTTTTAACGTAGCATTTGTTGATAAATCTGTTGCATGAACTTTTGAAGATGCCAATGAACAATAGTAAGGAAAATAAACAATATTGCCTCAATCTCGTAAAATTTTTTAGCGAATCTTCCGAAGTCCAGTTGTTTCTAGTTACCGGTTTGGCTGTACTCAGCCAATCACAGAAATCTTTTTTATATAGTCTAGCAACTGTTAATATTTCTTTGGACAAGAAATCTAGGATATGCTACCTCAAAAGATCTCTATTTACTTAAGTTTTATTTTTGAGAACAAACCGATGTTTGGAGACGTTCAGTTTAGTTCTGGAATCAGCTTCATACAGCTGAACAGAAATGCGATAAACGGTATCAACTACAAATGGAGATTAGATTTTTAGTAAACTAAAATTTATAAGTTGTATGATAGTCACTCTAGTTTCTCATTTATTTTTATTTCGAACATTTAAAACTGTGTAGTAAACATTAATAAAAGAATCAATGGTGGTAAGACTAGTAAAAAATCTGTTTATAAACAAAAGGTAGCACTGCATTTGTAGTTCCAAATGTTTCATTCTACTGCGACAATTAAATGTAGATCTTAAGGATTTTGGTTTCCAAAAGTGGAAAAAAAGGGCCAGTTTTAAAATATTTGCACTGATAATGTAGTGTAATGATAGCAAAAAAAGAAAGATACTTCTGAAAAAAATCTGTAAGTTTTCTAGGGTAACAAACTTTATGTGAATGGCGTTTACACGAGGAACTTGACTGATACGGAAATGAGCGAACTCGACACTTACAGACGAGCAGTTGAGGATTATAAAGCTGTGAGGCTACCGCAGATTATTTTCGCATTTCGTGTTAGGCTATTTTTGGAGAATCTTCAAACTGATACAGTGATTAAAAAGCTGGTAAAAAAACGTGGAAGGCAAATCAGTGGGAAAATAAACAAAGCAAGTCTTTTTTTAGCAGCTGGAACTCGCTTACGAAGAAAATTGGTTGTCAAGAAGTGAATTTCCCGAAGTTCCAGAAACCCCATCATTTTGCAACTCTAACATGACGACC